GACACCCAAAACTCAGCATTAAAAAGGAGATGAGATGGGACAGTTGAGGTATAAGAAGAGAAAGCAGAAGAGCTGATACCTCAGAAAGGAGCAAGCACAGGGAGCAAGCATGAAGGCCTATCTGGAAGGAACTGAATTAGCATCATTAGGAAGCTGCCAATTCCTCCTAACCTCTTGCAGCTCCACGCTTCTGTGCTCTCTAAAACCTGGATCTGAAATTCTCCTCAGCCTAGACACAAAATTCTCAACCTATAAAGAAAAGCATTCACAGATTTGACCTGGTGAACAATAGAAATGTTTGTGTGACAAAAGATACCCAAGCCCAGAAAGAAAAGCCACAGACTGGAAGAAAAATCTTCACAAAATGTATTGTATTTTATATATTATGACAACGTGGAACATTCTCAATGCCAAGGCACTCCTACACACCAGTAGGAAAGAGGCAGAGCCAACAAAGGATGTAAACAGGAGTTTGAGAAGAAATGGGCATCCGAAATACTCATGCCAGCAACAACTAAGAGAATGCAAAAGGAAACGGTATGTTATTGTGTTTGCTTGTTTAACTGACAAAATTAAAAACATTTAGAATACGTCCTATTGGCATGGGTGTAAGAATGGATGGCAACGTGAACTGATTATTATTATTATTATTAGTGTGGTATGTGTACACACGCATACATACCAAAACACACATGTGAAGGACAGTTGTGTAGCCGAGGTTCTTGAAATCAACTCATGGCCAGACTTTCAAGAGAGATTCTTCTCCCCACTGAGCTCCTGGCCAGCTCAAAGCCTTTTTACCAGATAGTTTTGCAGTAGCTGTGACTTTATGGGATGTTTTATTAAATAATTTGCTTTTAGGAATTAGTCTCATTCACATCTATTGCCACACAAAGGCAAAAGTACAAGAATGGCAATATGAAAACATTTATTTACTCTTTTTTTGTTTGTTTTGTTTTATGAGACAGGGTTTTTCTGTGTAGCCTTGGCTCTCCTGGAACTCACTCTGTAGACCAGGCTGGCCTCGAACTCACAGAGATGCACCTCCCTCTGCCTCCCAAGTGCTGGGATTAAAGGACTGCGCCACCACTACCCAGCATGAAAACACTTACTAAGAGGCAGCACTCAGGACACTGAGACACAGAGAAATTACGTAACTTACTCAGGAACGTACAGATAACGTGGTGGTGGCAGGTAGCTCTGCCGGGTCTGTCAACTGTTGTGCTATTGAATACAGTAAATATAATGTGGGATTCTCATGCTGTAGGCTAGGTTAGAGAATGAAGATTTCTGTCTACCCATTTGGGCCTAGGTCAGAGAATGAAGATTTCTGTCTACCTTTGTGGGCGTGTCCCGGGACACACTAATGAGAATTAAAGTTGCAAAATGCTATGACATGGTACTATTCTATGTATACGAAGGATATATATGTATATATATAAAGGATATACATGATCTATATATGCAAATAATTGTAAGAATATACAACAGCCTTGAGTGAGAAGACCATGCACATGAAAGAAGAGCCAGCACCAGGCATGGCGGGTCACATCTGTATTCCCAGAACTTGAAAGTTTGAGGCAGGAGGATGAAATGGAGAAGAGACAGACCCCTCAAGTTAAAAACTAGAAACCAGCGGTGTGAGAAACACGGTCAAAATGTACTGTATCAATTTTTTTTAAATTAAAAAACAAAAGAAAACAAGTAGAAACGGGTACGTGGCTTTTCAATAGATAAAAGAAGGGGATTCCCCGGGCCATTAATTAATACCATGAAGTGTCAGAAGGTCTAGAAAGGGATTCCTAGCTGGCAGGTGTTAGTGAAGGAACAGTCATGAGTTAGAGGCTCTCCAGGACTACATAGTAAGTTTCTTGCTAGCCTGCATTCCTGAGTGAGACTATGTCTAAAAGCAAAAATTAAGAAGTTACCAGATTGTGGGTGTAAAAGCACTAGAAGACAACATTTCAGGTTATAGTCTATATATATCTGGCTTGCTTGAACTTTTAACTAGAGTTCATATGCTTATTTCTTTTGTAAATAAGAATGGTCATGCTGGCAAAAAAAAAATTAAAAGGAAGAGAGGCAAATAGAAGGTGGTTAAATAGTCATCAAAACACAAGACTGTAGGCGCTTTTCTTCCAGGTAAGCAATGGTGTCTTGCAAAAATATCTTTAAATAAATTACTTACTGTTTTGTGTGTTTGTGCATGGTAAGTGTGGGGGTTACATGTCACAATGCATGTGTGGAGGGCAGAGGACAACTTTGTGGAGGTGATCCTCCCCTTCCACCTTTAAATGTGTTCCTGAGATGAAGCTCAAATCACGAGGCTAGCATGGCAAGCACCTTTACCTTCTGAGCCAGCAGTTCTCAAGCTGTGGGTCTCGAGTCCTTTGAGGTTAAATGACACTTCCATGGGGGTTGGATATTAGACAGTCTGCACATCAAATATTTATATTACGATTCGAAACAGAGGCAAAGTTGCAGTTATGAAGTACAAGAGAAAATAATTTTATGGTTGGAGGTCACAACATGAGGAACTGTATTAAAGTGTCACAGCTTTAAGGATGAAAACCACTGTGCTATCACAACAGCTCCCCAAATTTTCTGTACCTAATGGGTATCCATAGAGGTGTGTGTATCTTATTATTAGTGTTCTTTTATTTATTTACTCGTTTGTGTTTTGTGTGTACCTGTATGTATGCATATGTTCAGACGCACATATATGTGTGTGTGCCGGTATGTGTGGAGGTCAGAGGTTGACACTGGTTGTCTTTCTCAATTGTTTTACACTTTCTTTCTTTCTTATTTATCTGAGATACAGTCTCTGAGCCTGGAGCTCCTCTGGGCTGACTGGCTAGCAAGCCTTGGGGATCTTGCTGTGTGCGTCTGTGTCTCCAGCGATTACAGGTGTGTGGTAGGCTTTTTAAGTGTGCTGGGGACTGAACTCAGGTCCTCATACTTGTATGATAAGCACTTTACCAATTGAATCAGCACCTTAGCTTCCCATTTTAGGGTTGAGATAGGTTCTCCAGCAATCCAGGCTGGCCTCAAACTTGCTATGTAGCTAAAGATGGCATTGAACTCCTGATCCTCTTGCCTCTACTGCTTGAGTGCTGGGATTACAGATATTCACCACCATACCAGGGTACGACTGTTCTTTTAAAACAAGGTTTCCAAGAATTGAGACCATACCATGGCTACTCCACCAAAGTCCATAAAAACATAAAGCCTGTACTTCAAAATTAATTTGTAACCTGAAGATCACAGTGTTCCTTTTGAAAGCTCATAATGCTATTATCATCAGGAAAAAGGACTTGTAAGATCTGTAATCATGATTCTCTAATTATCTTGCTCCAGTGCATCAGTGGGAGGAGTAGTTAGCTGGTCCTGGCTTTGGGTCTGTGAAGGTATGAAGGAGTAAATTCACCCACAGGCTTGAAGAACTACTTTTGACCAGAGGCCAGTTTTATTATCTGCAAGAAAAAGGGCTCTCCTGAGTCATCAAGGGCCTCTTCCTGTCTTCGTCCAAGTCAGAATGGCTTCTCCCCAGAAGCAGAAACGTTTCTGGAACACGTGCTGGGTGAAGCGCAGTTTTGACAAAACCAGGGCTGTAGTGCACCTGCAGATCTACCTTGATATCCTCAAAGAGCTTACAGCCCACTATTTAGAGGCGTTACACTGTACCTTCTTTTAGAATGACCCATCAATAAGCATACGTTTTCAAATTCTGAAATTCAATATACTGTTTAGTATCTTTGTTGTTGTTTTCGAGACTGTTTCTCCATGTAGCTCTGGCTGTTCTGGAACTTGTTCTAGACTAGGCTGGCCTCAAACCTGCCAGCCTCCGCTGGGATTAAAGGCAGTTATGAAGTAAATTGCCCTCTTCAGCATCTTTAGAAAGGGGGAAAATCCCATTTAATTAGAAACAAGTGTATTTTCATTTGTTTAGCTGCTCATTTCAGAGTATTCACAATTCCTTTTGCATCTTTCACTTCAGTACTTTTCTCTTATTCTCAACCAGCCTGCAATGCTTGCAGAATTCTTCCCGTGAATGTGACAGAGCTTGTTTGGATTATTCAGTTGCTGGACGACTGGGTCCACTCCCAGGGCTTTGGTCATTATGAACATTCTGACTAGCCCTGCTGTAAACATCTTCACGCAAAGTCCTCCCCTCTTTGGATCATTTCCTTACACTTGGACTTCCTTAAATGGGCTTACTGGGTCAAAGGGGCTCTGTGAACAGTTTTATAGCTCTTGGCACATAGTTTTCAGATTGCGCCGAGAGGATCGTCGACCAATGATTCGGGGGCAGCGAGAGGGCAGGAATGTGGAGAAGCAGCCCCTCTTTTACTCCTCAAAGCAGGGACTCCGCGAATGCAGAAGAGTTCCTTATTGCCCTCCCGTTCCCTCCGCCTGGCCAGTGCCTAAGGTCTAAGTCTAGGGACACACCGCGATCAGGGAAGAGCACAAAGGTTTCGGAGGGCACAAAGATTTCGGAGAGCGACTCCTCCCTCCAGGCTTCCCAACCCCTGGAATCAAAAGAGTCTCAGACACCTAGCGCAGGTTAGGGGCGCGGCCTCCCCGCCCCCTATAGCCCCAGGCTATGGCCCCGGGCCCGCAGGCCCGGGTAGGGCGCTGACCCGGGGCGCTGCAGTTCGGCGCGGCGTGCATAGCTGCGCGCTGAGTCAGCGGGACACGGCGGGAGGGGGGCGCGGACGTCAGCTAGGCCGCGGGGTCCGGCGGGCGACGCGGGGCACGCGACGGGGACCACGGGGCATCGCGCTGCCACCCGCTCCGACTCCGAGCTCCGGGAGCGGGACAGACGACGCAACCAGACCAGTGGAGAGGGAGCGGAAAAGAAGCTTCGCAGCTCCGCTCCGCGGCGGGGCGGGGCCGGAGGCCAGGGGGCGGGGCGTGCAGCGAGGACGCGCCGGGGTGGGCGGGGCGGGGGAGCGCGCGGCCGACCCGCGGGCGGAGGGGCTTGTGGGTAGCGGCGGCGCGCGGCCGGGAAGGGCCGCGGCGCGGACTGCGTGCGAGGGGAGCGGGCTTGTGGGCGCGCGAGGCAGCCGGCGGCGACATGCGGGCGGACGGGCGGCGGCCCTAGCGGCCTGAGCCCCGAGGGCGGGGCGGTGCGGCGCGGGCGCCCCTTCCCCGCTCCCGCCCGCGGGGTCCTGGCGAGCTCGCTACGGGCCGGGCGGCGCGCGTGCGGCTGAGGGGCGGGGACGCCGTGTGCCTCGCTGCACCCGGCCGGGCCGGGCGGCTCCTCAGACAGCGGCGCGCGGCGGGCCCGGGCAGAGGTTCCGCGGGCGGCGCTAGGCCGGGCGAAGCGGCATGAGCCGGCCCCCACCGACGGGGAAAATGCCCAGCGCCCCCGAGGCCGCGCCGGGGGACGGGGCGGGCGCGGGCCGCCAGAGGAAGCTGGAGGCGCTCATCCGAGACCCTCGCTCGCCCATCAACGTGGAGAGCTTGCTGGTAGGTGCCGGCTTGGGAGGGAGCTCCCCGCCCTGCCTGGTCCCCGTTGGCCCACCCGCGCAGCTTCCGGCTGTCCGGGGGGACTGGAGACTCAGGTTCCGGAGTGGAGACCCCACCGGGGATTCCTCCGATCCACCCCCCTGTGCACGGGTGTCATCTCGGCCGCCCCCTTTTCTTGGAGCGCGCTGGGAGGAAACACCCCTGGTCTCCTTCCCGCCTACCTAGTCGGTTTAGGGCGGAAAGGTGGAGGATTGGCTGTGCTTCCTACCCCAGACTAGCTAATTTGAAAGTGTCACACAGCGTGGGAGCTAGGGTGAAATCCAGGGAGAAAGAAACCCGATGCTCTCCCTATTGGGAGTACCACCTGGGGTACATGACAAAGAGCTGCCCTCCCTCCGTCCTCTGCGTCGGGAATCTGGGAGCGCACAGCTCAAGTTTGCTTCTTTTCAGTTGCCCTTGGACATTCCATAGTAGCTGTTTAGTGCATTTGAATTTATGTAAATTAAATTTCCGGAGATTGTTGCTCCGGAGCCAAGACATGAGTTTGAATTGTAGAATGGAATAAATCTCTCTCCTTCTCGTCTTGCCCATAGTATTCAAAATACAAAATAAGAGCCTCGGGAAGGCTGCTGGCTGGAGCTCGATTAAGAAAATAACGCGTTTTACAATAAACGCCGCATAGAATGCTGTCATAGTTCTGGTCTTTTTGGGGGAAGCGATTATGTTTGGCAAGATAGAGATGCATTTATGGGAAAAAGTGTGACCACGTATCCTGAAGAGAAGGCGAAAAAAGACACTCTGGCTATCAGCTCTGGAGGGCTAGTCATAGGGTGGGTGATCAGGCATTCTGTGCCAAAAAGCATGTCAACTCTGGGCCCTACTAGGAGAAGCCTAGTGACTCTGTGATGAGAAAAACTGTCTCCTCCCTTTCCACTGACTAACTTTTCTTCTGAGGCCGTTGGTTATCCTTTGAGGTTTCTGGAATCATTTGCAGAGTGACTCAGTCCTGTTTGGCCACAATGCAGGAACTGACTAGAGAGTGGGTATCTTTCTATAGGATGTGTAGATGTAGAGATTTGGCTTTTGGGGGGTGAGTTGGGGGAGGGTTATTTATTTATTTTGCCTGGTAGTAGGTTTCTGTGTTCTTTTAGGACAGTTTTTGGAAGTCTTTAGCTCAGAGTAGGATTAGTTGCATGGAGGTCATAGCCCTTCTGTAGATAAAGCAAAGCTTCTCTGGCGTCACTGCCAGCATTTTCACTTTGGTATTTCGCTCGCAAAACTTTGATCCTAGGCCAGAAAGTTCAGTTAAAAATAGTATCTGTAAATCTCAAATATTCACCAGGCTCATTCTCAATCCCAGATAGAAATGTCTTTACATTTCACATCCATCTCTTGTATTTTAGTGATGTTAATCATCATTATTAGGATCATTCTGAGCTTGGAACTAAGCTGTTTAATACCTGTGACATGACAGTTTGTCTTATTAAAATATTTCTTGAATTATTACACATGGTCAGTAACAGTTTAGTTCCTTCATTGAATAATTAGTACAGCCAAGACCCACATTTGTTATTGTGACATTTACTGTTATGAGGGTTGACATCCGTTTGATGATTTGACAGCAGGCTTACTGCTGTTTTTAGTTGATTACACTTCATTGAGAGTCAGTACAAGTCTTGTTCTAGAGTGCAGCAAATGTTATTAAGTCAGAAAGTGCCCTTTATTCCCTAGATTAAGGACCTTGGTCCTCTTGTTGCACATTGATAGATACTGAAAACATTGGTAAAGTTAAAATAATTATTTCTAAGTTATGTGTATTTTATTGTAGAATATTAGAATGAATAATGTGCTGGTTGGTTTTATGTCAGTTTGACAAAAGCAGGAGTTAACTGAAAGGAAGGACCATCAGTTGAGAAAATGTCTCCATAAGACCCAGCTATAGGATATTTTCCTAATTAATGATTGATGAGGGAAAGCCCAGCCCATTATGGGTGATGCCAACCCTGGCTGACAGACCTGGGTTTGGTAAACAGGCTGAGCAAGGCATGGGGAGCAAGCCAGTAAGCAGTACTCCAAGGCTTCTGCATAAGCACCTTCTTCCAGTTTTCTGCCGTTTTGAGTTCTTATCCTGACTTCCTGTGCTGTGGAAGTGTAAGCCAAATAAACCCTTTCCTTCCAAGTTGCTTTGGTCATGGTGGTTCATTACAGCAATGGTAACCCTGACTACGAGAATTTTTAAAAATTTTAATTGTAGTAGTATACATAAAATGTGCCATTTAAACCATGTTGAAGTGCACGATTGTATGATATTAAATACGTTCACATTGTTGTGCCAATCATCACTGCCATTCATTCTCAACCTTTTTATTCCTCCAAGTTTTAATTCAGCATATTAGTCTTTAAACTGACATTATAAAAATTGTTTTTTAAAATATTTATGAAATAGTAGCTGTTATTACTTTAAAGATCTGAAATCTTACTATGAGATGTATTTCACAGATAATCATTGCTTTACATAACCTTGTATTTCTTTTGGTTTTATTCTAGAAAAATATCTTCAATAGTTTAATACAAACACAGCATGGAATTTAGTTACTGTTTTCAAAAGCTTCGAAAGCACTATGGCACTCGATGGTGAAACATACCAGGATTTTCTGAAACATGTTTTCAGTAGGCTAGGTACACCATTCATAGGAAGAAAAGTTACACAAGATAGCATACAGTATCAGTGCATGGTACATCCTTACACCCATTTGACTTCTGAGTGCATTTGACAAATTTTTGTTAGCTTTGTTTTCTTTGAGGTAGGAAATGATTTTTGTTACAGATATTTCTTGTTACACAGTTTTAGGTGCATGCAATTATCATTTTGAGTTTGCCGTCATAAGTGCTAATCATTGTCAAGCTTATGTAGGGCTGGATTCCAGAACACTATCAGTGTGCAGACGAAATTATCTTGTTTCTGTGCAGAGGCTAGTTGCTTTATTTGGCCCTAAAATAAGCAACTCTTTTGAAGTTGCAGATTGTAAGCTGGTTGGTACTATTTAAAAATAGTTTCAAGAGAGATTTGCTTCTGTAATTAAAAACAAAACAAAACAAAACAAAACTATCTTGTGTGTTTGAGTGTGGGCATGTGCCATGTGGGCATGGCACATGTGTGTGGAGGTCAGAGGACAACTGTGGGAGTCAGTTCTCTACTCCTATCTATATCACCTAGAGATCAAATTCAGGTCATGTGGTTTTCAGGCTTGATGGGAAGTAAGTACCTGTACAGCTGAGTCTTTTTGAAGGTCATTGTTTGAAATATTTCTAAGGGAGGACCTTAAGTGATGCTCATTTGTAGTGTTTGAAACTTTTGGTATGCCTCTGTTTTGTTGTCACAGATCCTCACATTGCTTGCCCTGTGTGTTTTAGTTAACATGTATTCTGGAGAAATGTCTTAAGGTTTGTGCTTTGGGTTTTTCTTTAGTTCTTTCAAAGAGTATGCAGTCATGGTAACCTATGGGTTTTGTGAATGGGTAAAGGTGATCAAGTATTTATTTATAATTTCAATAGGAGGAAAAACAAAATACCCATTAAAACTTTTTAAATTTACGTTTATTTATGTGTGTGTGTTTTGGGTGGGGTGTTGTGTGTCATGGCACAGGTGTGGAGGTCAGAGGACAATTTGCAGGAGTTTTCTTCTACCATGAGGATTCCAGTAATCAAACTAAGGCTATCAGGCTTGGCATCAACTCTCTGTAACTGCCGAGCCATCTGCTTGGCCCCAGAAACACCTATTAGGACTGGTACCTGCCATCTGTATGAAAATATTACTATGTGGAAATTTTATTTTTGGTAGTTGTGGGTATTGAGCTTAAGACCTTGCATATGCAAGGTGAATGTTGCCTCCATCTCCATGAAATACTTACTGTAGTGCCTAGGTTCTTTCCATGTAGTGCTGGCTTTTCACCCGATTACAATACAGTTGCACATGTTCACTCCTCTGAAAGTTATGACTGAAACTCTTTTGCAGATGTAATAAAAATGAGATAGAATAAAAGATGAACAAATATTTTGTACATACTCATTTGTGAAGTAGAAGGTATACATTTAGAATGTACAGATTAATTACTTTAAAAAACATATTTAGGTTATTTTTTACATTTATTTATTTGTGAGTACGTGTGTAGAGAACTGAGGAAAACTTTTAGTTGATTCTTACTATGTGGGCTTTGAGATCTAACTCAGGTTTGTCAGGCTAGGCACTAGTGTTCTTTCCTGCTTGCTAAGCCATTTATACTATAGATATTATAAATACATTTAATAAATGTTATAATCTGGGCAAGGTGTGCACACCTGATTTTATCCCAGCACTCAGAAGGCAGAGGCAGGCAGAGCTCTATGAGTTTGAGGCTAGCCTGGTCTATAGAGTGATTTCCAAGCCAGCCCCAGCTACGTAGTGAGTTCTTGCCGTAAAATAAATTTTGTTATGAATGATTTGTGCTAAGTCTTTGTAAGGACTTGTTTTTATTTTTCTTGGGTTGAAATGAGGTAGAATTGCTGTGTCATAGGATATGTGTATGTTTGCTTTTTTAGGAAATGACCAGATCTTTTTAAAGTGGTTATACTATTTTACACTTGTGCCAACAAGAGAAGGGAGAATTCCAGTTGTTCTCCATCTTTCATAACATTAAAAAAAATCCTGTGGTGGGTCATGGTTGGTCACTGTGTTGTAATTTGCACATTCTGATGACTACTGCATATACTGGCTATTTATATATAAATATGTGAATCATCTGTTAGAGTATTTGCCCCTTTGAAAAGTTGGGGCTATCATATAAGGTTTTATGTGCTAGACATAGAAATGATTTTGTGTGTAAAGGAAATGCTGTGAAATTTGCTTTGTGAATATTTTTTCTTAGTGTGTGCTATGTCTGTTTCTAACCATTTCAAAAATTGTTACTGTTTTTTTTTTTTTTTTTTTTTCCCACCCAAGTAATTGTAGTCCTATCTCTTGG